ATTTCCAAATTATTTCCATCTCATATATTTTGATTGACTTTATAATAGTTGGTTACATGATAGTAAAACATTCAGTGCTCATCCTGGTGCACTAGATAATTAGTCCCTCTGTGGTCTTCTGATATAAATAGCGTTGCTTTCTTCACAATAAACTGTATCTTGTGCTGTAACTGTGCTGTACATTGTGATATTTCTGTGACTAGACTGGTACACTAGCTACTTCCTACTAAGAAAGGATAAAGGAATTTTTTTCCATAACAGGCTAAAGCTCTGCCATGTACCAGTCAGTACGAGCCATGTACCTTCCGCTAATAAGCTGCTATAGTGACAAAAAATCCTAAACTATAAGCGCAAAAACTTGATTAGATATGTAGTCAGGTGGGTTGTTGGGTCCTGAGTCTTCTTTCTTTCTATAGAGTGGAAGGGAATTTCTTGAGGAGCCCACATTGTTACCTGCGGGGTCTTCTTAGGATTCAGTAGAGAGAAGGGCAGATGGTGTCACAACAAGGGGACCAGTCCATATAACCATCTCCACTTGTATCCCATATCAACTAGTATCTAGTAGTCTAGTATAATGTTTCTCAACCTTTTTTCAGTCAAGGCACCCTTTAAAATTCTGCACAATCTTGAGTCACCCTTTACAAAATGTAAAAAACTAAACCAATAGTGTTACAGAATGCAGCAGCATCTGCACATCTGGGATACCCAACGTCAGAAGTGATTTATTCTTCGAAAGCAAAAATACCTTTGCACACTGGTATTGACTAGTATTCCATTGTTTCTCTTCTCCCTCAGTTTCTCTCTCTCTGTCTCTCACTCAGCTAACGTGCCCACAGCACTGACAGAGAGGGGCAGGGGAGGGACAAGCAAGGATGCTGGGCAGGTACCCAATGTCCTTCTTATCAACTGATGACATCATTGGGTTTTTTTATGTCATTAGCAGGTAGAAAGTTGGGTTGATCCACCTGCTGGTTTGTATACAATTTTTGGGCAATTTCTAGGCATTTTGCCAAGGCACCCCTGAAGAAAAATGAAGGCACCCCGGTTAAAAAAGGCTGGTCTAGTATAAACTATGACAAATGTAATTTTAAATATTTTGTAATCACCGATCTTCCCAACCAGAATAGATGCCATTAAGGGACATGGATGGCAGACTCAGGTGAGTTAAAAACTGCTTTAGCAGTAGTGTTAAGGTGGGATGGGCAAGGGGATGTAAAATCAAAAGAAAAGTATAAAAATAGGCTACAGACTTTATCAATAATTTATCATTAAATTGCACAAGCATAAAAACAAATCTTCTTACATTGTACAAAAAAACATGAATTTTAAAAAGCCTTCTTTTACATTTTTTTCTTACTTAAAAAACAGTGCACATTTCCCATATATTATCATTCATCTTTAAAGCTCATTTGAGTGTCATTGACGTGTTTTTTCTTTCTTTATGCACATGAAACACATTGCAATGGCACCATGTAATCTCTGAGAATCTGCAGAGAAAATATTGGTAGAAAGCTTAAACTTAGAATTAAATATGTGTTTATTGCGTTAGTTTGTATACTCAATGAAACTAAGATGGTGGTAGGGACCCAGAACTGAGATTCTTGAGATGGGAAAACAAAAAGAGGAGAAAGTGATTTTTTTTAGCAAGCTTTTTCTTGTTTTAATTGAAGTAAACAAGGAAACTGAATGACAACACAGTGCTCATTGCAGTGAGATTAAGCGCTAATTGAGTAAAGGGGCTCAGGTGGATTTTCTAGTTAAAGCTTATGGGACCAACTGAATCTGCTGGGAAGGGGGGGCCAGGGAGAGAGGAGAAGAGTATACACACTTCCCAACAAGTCATTTTTAACAGTTACAAGCTTGCCACAAAGACCTCACAGGGAGCTTAACAGATGCAAATGGGATCCATACACACTCTACAAAACCCTGTAACAAAGATGTTCGAAAGCCTAATAGAAAAGAAATCACTTACTATTAGAAAACTTTACAACTGGGATCTCTGTAACTAATTAACCCCCTTCATGCTGGAGGGGGCCAGCCAGACCCTCACGCCAAGTGACAGCTCAAGTGACTGTAATAAGTGATAGCTCCATAAATGTTTTAGTTTGAGTTTCATTTGATACTGTACAGACTGACGTAAATGTACTTATTGGTTTTTCTTGCATTTATTAAGTTACAAAAAGTTGGTAAGTACCCATTCAGTAACTTAGGTTTTTTGTTGTTGTTATTTTCTTTTTCTAATGTTATTAAATGTTAAAGTATATGGAAACTCAATCACTAATATCTCATATGCTATAACAAAACTCATTTGTAATATTTTTAAATTTGCAGCTTTCCTTAAAGCGGTTTTAAAGTTAAAACCAAAAATGCAATATACTGCACTTACCAATCCCTAAATGTGGTTGTTGTATTGGGTTTTCTTTTTTAGACCTTTCCCTTTGTTTTCACCTGGTGACCTGGCAAGTAACACACTCAGGTGTCCGTTTATGACACAGAGAATAGCTGCGATTCCGAGGATCTCAGCTATTCTCTGGTCATTCACAGATGACACTCAGGAGATCAGCGGAGAACATGTTCAGCCCTTCACTGGAGATCTGTGTTCTCCCTCCAGATTCTCCGGCCCAGAGCTGGAGAATCGGAGGGACCTCAAACTATGGTGTCCATTTATGACACACAGAATAGCTGAGATTCAGAGGATCGCAGCTATTCTCTGGTCATTCACAGTTTATAACACCCAGGAGAATATGTTCAACCCTTCTCTGGAGATCTGTGTTCTCCCTCCAGATTCTTCAGCCCAGAGCTGGAGAATCGGAGGGACCGCAAACTAAGCAGAGATAATTTACCTCTGTTTAGTAAACTGATCTTTTACTGTAATCTCGTGAGATTATAGTAAAATCAGCCGTTCTCCAGAGTTTGTAGACCGTTCTCCAGCGTTTGTAGACCGTTCTCCCTTCGTTTGGAGAACTGATCTACATATGCTTCATAAACGGCATTCACAGGAGAACTGTGTTCTCCGAGAATGCCGGAGAACTGATCAGCGAGCTATTACTGCTGATTCATAAACGGACACCTTAGCAGCGATAATTTACCTCTGCTTAGTAAACTGATCTTTTACTGTAATCTCATGAGATTATAGTAAAATCAGCCATTTCCAGTGTTTGGAGACCGTTCTTCAGCATTTGGAGACCGTTCTCCCTTCGTTCGGAGAACTGCTTCATAAAAGGCATTCACAGGAGAACTGTGTTCTCCGAGAATGCCGGAGAACTGAGCAGCGATCTATTACCACTGGTTCATAAACGGACACCTCAGTGACTTATGCTGGCCATAGGCGGGTTGGCCGGAAAAAAAAATCGGCCGATTTTCGCACTTTAGTGGGTTAATTGGTTGGCCGTTTTTTGCACAGTTTTTTCATCGGTCATGTTGGAAAATTTGCGGCCGATTTGGACGATCGGCCTATTTTCCCGGCAATGATGGGCAAATCGGCCGATCGTTTTACCGGTAAAAAATCTGCGCATGAGCTGTGACCTGCAAGGTTGCCAGCATTCTTTTTACTGTAAATGTACACACACACACGTCTATGTATATATATATACAAAATTAAATTGTATTCCTAGAAAAGGTAATGAGGTTCTAAAGAGGTTGTTTAAAATTCTCTATTTTCCAAGGAAAGATTTATATGAGGAAAAGGTTTATAGGAGTAGAAAAAAAACAGTTGTTTCAGCAGATGTCCTGCAGATGTCCTGAGAAGAAGTAGAAGAATATTAATAATAATAAGAAGAAGTCTGCTATTATATTTTATATGAAAAAATCTTGCGGTTGCAACAAATGTATCCATTTGTATCCATATAAAAACATAATGTATTTGTATTGCTGTCACATTGTATGGTGTGCTCCCCTGTCTCTGTCAAACTGGTTTCTTGTCCCATTCTTTCGTGAGCATTGGTGGCAGCATCGGCAACGGCACCGACCGATTTTTCGTTTTATCAGCCGACAATTCGGCCGATAAACGGCCCGTCTATGGCCTGCATTAGAGTGCCTCCACTCTGGATGAAGGCGCACAAGTGGCACCTTTGGACAGCAGCATTGTTAATCTGCTGGAGGCGAGTTTTAGATGGACTAGCAGATTTAGATGCACTAAAAATTGAAGCCAGAATAAAGTTTGTTACCTATAATGTAACTGTATAAGACTTAGTGACCAGTTGTGTCAGTTAGGATGCACTGGATATGTCTAAAGGTATGTTGAATAATATCTGCAGTGTTGAGAATCTTTCCCCTGCATGTATTGTTAAAAAATCATAAACAAAGAATTAAAATAAATGAAGCCAAACTCTAGATAACAGTTTATAAGCAGTTACAGCAACAGTTTTTTTTCCTTGTGGGATAAAGATTTAGCATAAATAAATAAAAGATGACCATTGTAAGCACCCCTGTCAGTTTTAAATGGTTTGTCCCAACCCTCTAACTACATCTGCAGGACAGCTTGTTCTTTCAATCACTTGCCTACCGGGCACTTATACCCCCTTCCAGCCCAGACCAATTTTCAGCGTTGTTGCACTTTGAATGACAATTGCGCAGTCATGTAACACTGTACCCATATGAAATTTTTATAATTTTTTTCACACAAATAGAGATTTCTTTTGGTGGTATTTCATTGCTGATGAATGTTTTATTTTTTGCACTATAAACAAAAAAAGAGCAAAAAAATGAAAAATAAAAAAGTTTTTCTTTGTATCTATTATAAAATTTTGCAAACAGGTAACTTTTCTCCTTCGCTGATGTGCGTTGATGAGGCAGCACTGATGGGCACTGATAGTCAGCACTGATGGGCACTGACAGGCAGCACTGATGGGCACTGAAAGGCGGAACTGATGAGGTGGCACAGATAGGCAGCACTGACAGGCAGCACTGATGATCTGGCACAGATGAGGCAGCACTGATATGCAACAATGATTGGCACTGATAGTCAGCACTGATGGGCACTGACAGGCAGCACTGATGGGCACTGAAAGGCGGAACTGATGAGGTGGCACAGATAGGCAGCACTGACAGGCAGCACTGATGATCTGGCACTGATGAGGCAGCACTGATATGCAACAATGATTGACACTGATAGGCGGCACTGATGGGTGGCGCTGACTAACGGCACTGACTGGTGACACTGCTGGGCACTGATGAGTGGCACTGCTGGGCAGCACTGATGGGTGGCACTGATGGGGGGAACTGCTGGGTACTGGTGGATGGCACTTCTGGACACAGGTGGGTGGCACTACTAAACACTGATGGGCACAGGTGGGGGGCACTGATGGGCACAGGTGGGTAGGAATGCTGGGCACTTGCGGGTGGCACTGCTGGGCACAGGTGGATGGCACTGGTGGGTGGTACTGATGGGCACTGATCATCAGTACCCTTGACAGTTATCGGCAGTACTTTCCTCACGCTGTGACAGCGTAAGGAAAGTGCAGCTGATAACCAACAACTGCATTTACCAGTGATCTGCTGTGTCGTTTGGACACAGCTGATCACATGGTAAAAGCCCGCTGGCGAGTTCTGGGAGGACTTCATATGATGCCCTCCCAGGACTGGACAACCGTGCTGTAGCCGTCATTCGGTTACAGCACAGTTGGAAAGTGGTTAAAAAAACAGGAAACTTACTGGCAGGAACGTCAGGTAAAAATAAAGGAAAGAAAGCCTAAAAAAGAAAACAAATGCAGCCATAGCATCTATGGGTTGGTAAGCCTCTATATAATAAATGTATACTTTGGGGTTTAATCACTTGCCCCCCAGAGGATTTATCCAACTCCCTGACTAGACCATTTTTTGTGATGCGGCGCTACGTTTCTTTGACAATTCAATGCTGTACATAGATTATTATTATTATTACCGTATTTTCCGGCGTATAAGACGACTGGGCGTATAAGACGACCCCCCCTACTTTTCCTGTTAAAATATAGGGTTTGGGCTATACTCGCCGTATAAGACTACCCCCCTCTTCCAACCAATCACGGCAAGCGATGTACGGTATTTTCTGTGCACACTGCATACAAAGCCTGCTTGGATTGGGTGGGTCAGCTCTCCCTGCCTGCCCAGCCCTGCCTGTCTCCAAGATACCATAAATTGCACAGAACTGCCACAGACATTATAATATTAATAATTAATTACCGTATCTCATAGAAGTTAAGGGGACAAGGTCGGATGCAGCAGTACCATACCGGTACTTCCGAGCTGACGCTTCTGCACATGTCTTCGGCAGCAGTAGACGATCACTGATCGCCATTCCTCGCAGAACTGCATGAGACGTCGGATGCAGCCGTTCAGTGCTCGATTGATCGTGACTGAAACTGTGACATGCGCAGAATCACTGTGTATCCCTTCTCTGCATATCACAGTTTCAGTCAAGCTCAATCGAGCACTGCTGCATCCGACGTCTCATGCAGTTCTGCGAGCTATGGTGATCCGCGATCGTCTACTGCTGCCGAAGACATGCGCAGTAGCGTCAACCCGGAAGTACGGTAAGGTTTCAGCACAGCACCCGGCGTATAAGACGACCCCCGACTTTGTAGACGATTTCCAGGGGTTAAAATGTTGTCTTATACGCCGGAAAATACGGTATTATACAGTATTTATAAAGCGCCAATAGTTCGCTCAGCGCTGTACATTACAAAGGGGGACAGAACACGTGACAGAACAATACCAATACAATGTGATACACGAGGGGTTCGAGGGCCCTGCTCTTTCGAGCTTACAATCTAGGAGGGAGGGGATAGTGGTACAGGAGGAGATAGCTGTGGGGGATGGAGTGGTAGGAAGAGTGGAGGAGGTCGGCAAGTTAGCAGGGGGTGGGGTAGGCTTCCCTGAAGAGATGGGTTTATGTAATAGATGAGATTTATGTAATTTTTTTCACACAAATATAGCTTTCTTTTGGTGGTATTTGATCACCTCTGCAGTTTTTATTTTTTGTGCTATAAACAATTTTGAAAAAAAAAACAATATTTCTTACTTTTTGCTATAAAACATATCCAATGAAAAAATTAAAGAAATAAAATTTCTTCATAAATTTTAGGCCAAAATGTATTCTGCTACATGTCTTTGCTAAACAAAATCCCAATACATGTAAATTAATTGGTTTATGTGTAAAGTTATAGCGTCTACAAATGGCAGTATATATACTGGATTTTTATTTTTTATACTAGTAATGGTGGCGATCAGCGACTTATAGCAGGAGTGCGGGTCTGTGGCGGGAATTCTGACACTGGGTGGGAACTGACTAACTGCCACTGACATCCCCAGTGACACTAATACAGTGATCAGTGCTAATAAAAAGCACACTGTACTAATGACACTGGGCAGGAAGGGGTTAAAATCTAGAGCGATCAAAGGGTTAACTGTGGGCTGTGTGTGTTTTACTGTGTGCTTTGTTTTACTAGGGAGACATTCTGTTTTGTATCTCTCTGCTGTGCGCGCCCCCTACCCAGGAATGCAAATCACGTATATATTCGTGATTTTGCGCAGCCCTACCGCCCTGTAGCAGTACTTCTTCTATAGGGCAGTGGGAATTACTGCTAAGGGCAACATTATGTAATCCTATGTAATGTCTCTTCTGCCTGTGGCATGTAAACTGAGCTGCACAGAATGTACATCGTAGTTTACATCACCGCCATGGATCCTCTGTGTCAGGATGACTGACATCATCCTGCACCAGCCAAAGACAGCCAAAGAGTGGCATCCAAAGGGAGCCAGGAAGAAGATGCCAAAAAAGAGGGGATAAGTGAAGTGAATTTTAAAATAATACCTGGTGACCCTGCCATGAAGGTTCTTGTTCAGGTACTTCCTGTTAATGGATGACAATGATCTGATCCTGTGTCCCAGCTGTGTTCCTGAAATGTAACCATGTTATATGAATTTTAAATAGAAACCACCAGCAGACCATGCACACATAATTTACTGTTGTCACCATCAGGAGACCCGTCCTGTGAAATGTCCTGCAGCAATCTGTGGGGTGCATCAATGACAGGATGTGGCTGTAAAAAAGCAGAACAGAGTTGCAACAATGAATAGAAAATGTGGAAAACAATATTTCATCAAAATAAAATGTCAGTTGTTTATGATACACAGTATATTTATAATCCAAATGTTTTTAGTATATTCAGTTAGGGTTTACATACACTATATTGCCAAAAGTATTGGGCCACCCCTCCAAATAATTGGATTCAGGTGTTCCAATCACCTCCATGGCCACAGGTGTATAAAATCAAGCACCTAGGCATGCAGACTGCTTCTACAAACATTTGTGAAAGAATGGGTCACTCTCAGGAGTTCAGTGAATTCAAGCGTGGTACCGTGATAGGTTGCCATCTGCGCAATAAGTCAATCCATGAAATTTCCTTGCTACTAAATATTCCACCGTCAACTGTTAGTGGTATTATAATAAAATTAAAGCAACTGGGAACAACAGCACCTTAGCCACAAAGTGGTAGGCCACGTAAATTGACAGATCGGGGTCAGCGCATGCTGAAGCGCACAGTGCGTACAAATCGCCAACTGTCTGGCAAGTCAATTGCTAAAGACCTCCAAACTTCGTGTGGCCTTCAGATCAGCACAACAACAATGCATAGAGAACTTCATAGAATGGTTTCCATGGCCTAGGAGTTGCATCCAAAACTTACATCACCAAGTGCAATGCAAAGCATCGGGTGCAGGGGTGTAAAGCACGCCAACACTGGACTCTAAAGCAGTGGAGACGTGTTCTCTGGAGTGACAAATCACGCTTCTCTTTCTGGCAACCCGATAGACATGTCTGAGTTTGACAGATTCCAGGAGATCGGTACTTGCTTTACTGCATTGTGCCAAGTGTAAAGTTTAGTGGAGGGGGGATTATGGTATGGGGTTGTTTTTCAGGGTTGGGCTTGGTCCCTTAGTTCCAGTGAAGGGAACTATTAAGGCGTCAGCATACCAAGACATTTTGGACAATTTCATGCTCCCAACTTTGTGGGAACAGTTTGGGGATGGCTCCTTCCTGTTCCAACATGACTGCGCACCAGTGCACAAAGCAAGGTCCATTAAAACATGGATGAGTGAATTTGGGGTGGAGGAACTTGACTGGCCTGCACATAGTCCTGACCTCAACCCGATAGAACACCTTTCGGATGAATTAGAGCAGAGACTGAGAGCCAGACCTTCTCGTTCAAAATCAGTGCCTGACCTCACAAATACGCTACTGGAAGAATGGTCAGACATTCCCATAGTCACACTCCTAAAACTTGTGGACAGCCTTCCCAGAAGAGTTGAAGCTGTTATAGCTGCAAAGGGCGGGCCAACTCAATATTGAACCCTACGGACTAAGACTGGAATGCCATTAAAGTGTGTAAAGGCAGGCATCCCAATACTTTTGGCAATGTCGTGTATATTTAAAAAAAGGTATCTATTTATCAATCTTCACCCAAGATTCATACATTTTTCCGATTGACTCTAAAGTCAGACATAGATGGCTCAGCAGGGCCAGCCGAGATTCGATCCATCTATGGGCAGACTAATTGTACCAAACTCAATCCATCAATCAACTTGCGTACAACCAACATGTTGGATTTTTACATGTGATTATTGCCTGCAGCTATAGCCACTATCAATAAGCACTGTGTTCTACTGACAGGGACTGCTCCCTGTGCCTCCCCCCCCCCCCCTGCGGGGAGAACACAGAAGCTGAGGGAGGGATTCAACGTTGATGGGGGAATCAAGAGATTTTCTTTCCTGCAACTCGAAAGAAAATTGCATAATCTGTGGCCTGCCTTAGGTGAAAATGTGTAATACTGTGTGACAGTTGTATGAATCTTGGATAAAAATACTAATCAATAGACCCCAGTCTGTCAAGCACTCCTCTACCACCTATATCCCACTAGTAGTCCACCCCACCCAACTTGTAAGTAAGTGATTCGGTTAACTAAATATTCATCTAGAAATACTCCTGTTTCTTATAACTTATATATTTATTTACAAATAAAGATAACTTTTTATAGGTGTAATTCTTAAGGCTCCACACTTTTGCGACTTTTCGTGTGACTTTGGACACATAAAGTCGCACGGCATGTCGCAGCCCATTGTTTTCAATGGCACCCCTTCTGACCTATGCAACTTAAAGTAGCAGTGACTTTGAAAAGGTTTCTGCACTACTTTCCTGCGACTTTGATGAGACTTAGTACCAGAGAGTGTAAAGTTGGATCAAAAACGTACTTCAAAGTTGCACTGGAAATCGTGCGGCTTTGGAGTCGCGCAAGTGGGAATGGAGCCTAAGTGAGGGATAGTTAGTTTTAGTTTCATAAACAGCTGCCATGTTTTCACTTTCATAAAACACCCTTTTTTTCCTTTTATCATTTCAGTCCTGCTGATCTCTTTCATCATTGTCAGGCACTTCCTGCTTACATGCACTCATTCTATCATTGACTGTACACTGTTGCTAGTGATAATGATGATAGTGAACAATGCCTGC